GCTTGGCAGTTTCATTCAAATGTGATTAAAAGCTTTTTATTTTAAAATGAGTTTAAACTTACAGAAAAGTTGTAATAGTGGTTCTAAAGACTCCTATATAACCTTTATCAAGATTCATCAATTTTAGTATTTTTACTTATTTGTATTATCATTCTCTTTCAATATATTTACATATGATAAGTTTTATTTGAGACATTTGGAGGTACGTTGTTTGCGTCATGACCTTTTACTCCTTAATATTTCAGTATATGTTTCCCAAGACAAGTTGGTCTCTTGAATAAACACCAAATTCAGGAAACGTATTGAGACAACACTACCAGCTAATGTTTAGTCCATATACTAATTTTGTCAATTGTTCCAATAATGTCCTTTGTAAGAATTTTTTTTCATATGGGATCCAGTTGAGGTCCACATATTATATACTTGGATTTCATGCCTCACTCTGGTGTCTTTAGCAATTTCTTGTAAGCCTCTGAACTAAGGGATCTGCTTCAAAACATCAGACCATGAGGTCAGTCCATGCTGGAGGAGCTTATAGGCTGGAAGGGAAAATGGGCTCATGCTCCTGAAAAACTTTGGCGAGGACACTGAACATTATCAGAAGACCCTAAGAATTGAAGAGAAATAAGGCAAACATATAGGGAGGATGAGACACTGTGAACTGTAGAGAAAAGGAGCAATATGAATGGATGAATCAGGGAATGCTTCCTGGAGGAGGTGACTATTGTTTTGAAAGACAGGAGAGTTATGGCACAAGGGGCCAGCTCAGTGGTAGAGCCACAATGGCAGTTGAGAGGCTGGCAGTTGAAAGGCAGGAACTAGGCAAGTTGATAAGGAGGTGCCTGGAGAGACTATAATGAGATGGCATTATCTACCCTTTCCAGTGTCTCTTCTTCGGGTTTAAAAGCCCCATCTCATCTCTTTATTTGTCCAGACTACCTCTTTTTGTTTCTTTCCCTTTACTTCCTCTCATTGTTCCTTCTCACTCTGAGGGATAAGTGTTCTTTCCTTTAATTTTATATATATATAAAACATAAATAAAATTTTACTATATATATCTGACTATTTAAATCTTAGAAGCCTTTCTGTGTGGTCTTCCCTGATCACACCCACTTCTTTCCCCAGAAAAGGCAATCATTATTATTCTGATTATTATTTTTTTTTATAATTCATTCCTGTGTTGTTTTATAGCATCATCCTTCGTGTCCCTATAAAGTAGTCAACCACTTCTTATTCATCTGTCAGCTATGATCCTAATACTCTTCTGCATCCCTTACTTTCTTATTCTCTTGGTAAATTTTTTTCTATTAAAATTTTTTTCTAGAAAATTTTTTTTCTATATTATTTCTCAATCTCTTCAATTTGCGTTACCCTTTAACTCTCTTTTTGTTCTCTCTTGTTCTCTGTGTTTCAGAACATCTTTTCTATCAACTTTTTTCTCGTCTTTTTTTCCCTTTGATAGTAACAAAACTCAAGCACTACTTTACTCACTTCCCATTAATTCCATATTCATGGATGCATTTTTTTTTTATTGATCACCAAAGAGCTAGTTGTACAGTAGGTGCTGCAAGGAAATGAGATACCGATTCTACTCCCCAATCCAACAGCGATAACCGCCTTACTACTTTAGTAGTTACCATCTACTGAGCACTTCCTGTATACCAGGCACTGTGCTAAACATTTCCTGACTACCTGGGTCTCACAGGCATTCTCACTGCTTTCAAGGTAGTTAGTATTATCCTCCATGTACAGAAGAAGAAACAGTCTCAGAGAAGTTAAGTAGCTTGCTCAAGGTTGTACAGCCAATAAGCATCAGAACTAAGATTCTAGACCCTGTTTGATTCCAAATCTGGTGCTCCTTATGTCTCTACTGTTGAGGATTTGTGGAAACTGAAGAATTAACTTGTATCTTGTTTACAATCAAGTCAGTATCTCCTCATCGCCTTGCTGCCAGAGCATCTCCTTGACAAAGAGCTGGAAGGGTTGCAGCTCCCACTTGATCCTCACAGTGGGAACTAAAAGCAAACTAAGGAGAGACGGCACTCCTAAAGGGATTGGAGGTTAGGTCTCAGGTAATAATGTTGATTGCTAATGCTGCGGCCACACTTTCCAAAGCACTTTGCAACAACCATATGACCTGAATACTATTACTGTATTCTATCTTTGTTTTCAGATGAAGAATCTGAAACACAAACAGGTTAAATAATTCTCTCACAGTAATATAGCCAGAGCTGAGACGTGAATGTAGGTGGTCTCTATCATCCTGCTAGACGGATGAGGCTAGGGGTAGCTCTTTGCCAACGACGTCCCCTCCTTAGTCCAGGGAGTTAGCCTCTCTTTTAGTGGCACTGGAGATAGAAAGGGAGGCATATGAGGTGTTGGAGGGAGAGATCCCAGGATTCCCATCCCATGGAGAGAAAAGCTCATTAATTCTGTCAAGACTCTGGAGCCCTCCAACCTGCAGACAATTAATTAGCCACTGGCGCTAATGCTGGTTAAGAAAGGAGGGGAGGATCCAGAGGAAATATGCTGGCAGTGGTGCTCCTTGTAATAAATAAAAGTTCACCTTCTGCTTCTCTGTGTCACTGGGGAGTATGAGTGTATTTTTTCCCTTGTTACCATCATCCCTTGAGTGTCCCATCCTTTCTTCTCAAGCCTCTTTGGACCCATTCAATACTCCATTATTTTTTGTTTCTTTTCTCCTTGTTGAAATGAAGATATAATTTGCATACAATAAGAAACACACATTTTAAGGGTATAGTTTGATGAATTTTTATGATCTCAGTCATGATACAGAATATTTCCACACCTTCCCCCTTGCCTCTTTCCTTGATACCTGTCCACAGCCCTGCCCAGAGGTAACCACAATTACGATTTCTATCCCCATAGTTTAATTTTGCCTCTTTTCGGACTTAATACAAATGGAATGAAATAATATGTATTCTTTTGGGTCAGGCGTCTTTCACTCAGCATAATTCTTTTGAGATTCATCCATGTCTTTTCATGTGTCAGCAGCTCATGTCTTTTTAAAAAATCATCTTAATTGAAGTCCAGTTAATATCTAATAAAATGCATATGTTTAAGTACATAGTTTAATAAGTTTTGACCAGAGTATATGCCTGGATAATCACCACCCCATTCAAGATATACAGCATTCCCATTGCCCTAGAAAGTTCCTGTATTTTTGTCCACCAATTTTAGCATCCAACATTACAAATTCTTGACTACAAAAATTATTTCTGGGATGTTTGCCTAATGGAAACTATTTCCATCATTTCTTCTATATTTATTATTTTGAATTTTACTGAATAGAGAAACTATTCCTTTCATCTTATTTATTTACTTATTTATTTATTGTTGATTTTATTTATTCTTATGAGTAATGACTTCCTATGTGTTTGTTTTATTCTCTATTACTCTGATTATTTATTTTGTTACACAAACTGTATTATGTTTGACTGTTGGGAGTGACTTTAAGTTGAGTTCTGTGAATTTTTGACATGTCCCCATCAATTTTTGAGCATTTCCTTACTTTCTGGCACCAAACCATGTTAACTGTAGGTTTTTTGTAGATGCCTTCAATCAGTTAGGAAAATTTCCTTCTGTTCTTAGTTTATTGAGAGTTTTTTGTTTGTTATGAATGCATGTTGAATTTTGTGAAATGCTTTTCTGCAGCTACTGATATGTTTATGTGACTTTCTTCTTTAATTTTTTTTTAAATTAAAAAAAATATGAAACGCTTCACGAATTTGTATGTCATCCTTGCTCAGGGGCAGTGCTAATCTCTGTCATTCCAATTTTAGTGTATGTGCTGCCAAGGTGAGCACTTATTTAATTGCTAATACGGAGGATTATTGATTGTGTTTTGAATATTGATCTAGGCTTGCCTTCCCTGGACCCCGCTTGGTCCTGCTGTATTAGCTTTTTAAAGGTATTGCTGGATTATATTTACTAATATTTGGTTGCAAATTTTCCTGCTCATATAGGATGCTGGTATGTAGCTTTCTTTCCATATACTGTTTTTATCTGGTTTTAGTGTCAAGATAATACTGGCCTCATGAAATGAGCTGGAAAGTTTCCCTCCTCTTCTGTTTCCTGAAAGAGATTTTGTGAAATTTGTGTTATTTTTTCTTTAAATAAATCGGTAGAACTTGCCTGTAAAACAATCTGAGCCTGAAAATCATTTGTTTATTTATTTGGTAAAAAACACATTAACATATTCTCCATCTTAACCATTTTTAAGTATATAATTCAGTGGTGATAACTATATTCATAGTGGTGTGCACCAGATCTCTAGGACTTTCTTATTTTGCATGCTATAAATATCACCCATTTAAAGCATACGATGTATTGGATTTGTGCATATTTACAAAGCTGTGCAATCAACAACCCTATATAAATCTGGAATATTCTTATTTGCCCAAAGAAAAACCTCATAGTGGTCACTCCCTTTTTCCTCAGTACTGGCAACCATTGATCTACTTTCTGTCTCTATGAATTTGCCTATTCTGGTCATTTCATGTAAATGGAATAATACAATACATGACCTTTGGGTTTGGCTTTCTCCATATAGCATAATGTTTTCAGGATTCATCCATGTTGTAATGTGGATCAGTAGTTTATTCCTTTTTATGGCTGAATAATATTCCATTGTATGGCTACTACACATTTTGTATATCCATTCATTGGTTGATGAACTTTTGGGTTGTTTCTACTTTTTGGCTATTATGAACAGTGCTGGTATGAACATTCATGTGCAAGTGTTTGTAAGAACAATTATCCTTAATTCTCTTGGGTATAAAGCTAGGAGTAGAATTGGTAGATCATATGGTAAACTTATGTTTAAACTTTTGAGGAACTGCCAGACTGCTTTCCAAGCTCTTGCCTCATTTTACATTGTCCACATCATTCTAGCACTTTCTTTCTCTCCCTTTCTTTTTCCCTCCCTTCTTTTTTTTTTAATTAGTGTGTGTGATGGCATCTTATTGTGGTTTTGATTTTCACTCCATTGATGATAAATCATATCAAATATTTTTTCACATGCTTATTGCCCATTAAAAAAATTGGGTTGTCTTTTTATTATTGAGTTGTAAGAGTTCTCTATATGTTTTAGATACAAGACCCTTATCAAATATTGATTTGTATATATTATCTCCCATTCTTTGTGTTGTTTATTCACTTTCTTGATTGTGTCCTTTGAGGTATAAAACTTTTATATTTTGAAGAAGTGCTTCATAATTCAGAAAGCACATCAGGCAGCTCTCCCTCAGCTCTCCCTGGAGTCCACATCCTTCCCCAGCAACCTCCTGAATGCCCTCTTTATCTCCTTATTCCTCAGGGTGTATATGAGAGGGTTAAGTGAAGGGGTGCCTACTGCATAGAAGAGACCAAAGAACTTGCCCCTCTTCTGGGCGTAGGGATTTTTGGGCTGGAGGTAGATGGCCATGACTGAGCTGTAGAAGAGGGTGACCACCGTGAGATGGGAGGAGCAGGTTCCCAGAGCCTTCCTCCAGGCTGTGGCAGAGTTAATCCTCAGCACTGCCCGGG